AAGCAGTCGACTGTTTGGGAGATTTCACCAGATGTTCCGAGGATGTTTAGATCATCCACGTAAACTGCTATGATTACAAATCCTTTGTTTGAGTATTTCTTGATGAAAATGCATGGACTGATGGGATCGTTTTTGTAGCCTTCTCTAATGAGATATTCGCTTAACCGGTTATACCACATACGTCCACTTTGTTTCAGTCCATACAAGGATTTGTTCAGCCTGATGCAGTATTGATCTCGAGATGCATGCTTATCTTTAAGCTCTATGCCATCTGGTAATCTCATGTATATTTCATTGTCGAGGGGCCCATAGAGATATGCGGTGACAACATCCATTAACCGCAAATCTAGATTTTCTCTTATGGCCAGACTTATGAGGAATCGAAAAGTAGTTGCATCCACCACCGGAGAATAAGTCTCCTCATAATCGATTCCGGGTCTCTGTGAGAATCCTTGTGCTACAAGCCGTGCTTTATAACGAACGACTTCACCGAGTTCGTTTCTTTTACGCACAAAGACCCATTTATGGCCCACTGGTTTGACATTGAATGGTGTCCGGATGATCGGACCAAACACATTCCTGAGTTTGAGACTCTTTAACTCCACGTTTATGGCTTCTTTCCATTTTAGCCAGTCTGTTCTATGAGTGCACTATGTGATAGACGTGGGTTCTAGATCCTCTTGCGTGTTCGCAATATCAAGTGCTACTTTGTATGCAAAGAGTGCATTTAAGTCGACTTCTTTTCTGTTCCATTGGGTTCCAGACATGTTGTAATTGATAGAGATCTCATTGTTATCGATCTCGTCAGAACCTAGAGATTCGGCGTCCCGAACCTCTTCTGGTGGTTCATTAGAGTGAGTCTCAGCGCGCGCTATGTCTGTTATATTGGGAATCCCGGTTTCAACTATTGCACCTTTCTTTGATTTCCGTGGATTCTTGTCTTTGGAACCTAGAGGTCTGCCACGTTTATTTCGTGATGCAGACTCTGTAGCAACTTGAACTTGTCTCGTTGGAACAGTGATTCGTACTGGTGCATTACAAGCTGGTATGTACGATTTGGTTACTTTGTTCGGGTCAGCAAAGGAATCTGGCAATTGATTAGCTAGCTTTTGATAGTGTATAATCTTTTGGAACTCCGAATCACATTCTAGAGTCCGAGGATCTTGCCAATTTAAGGATGTTTGATTCCATGATAGCTCTTTGACCAGCTTGTGTTTCTCTCCACCCAATGTTGGATATACCGATTCATCAAATTGGCAATCCGCATATCTGGCCTTAAATAGGTCTCCAGTGGTCGGCTCGAGATATTTAATGATGGTGGGAGAATCAAAACCAACATATATTCCCATCCTCCTTTGAGGTCCCATTTTGGTTCTATGTGGTGGAGCAATGGGTACATAGACTGAGCACCCAAATGTTTTGAGATGGGAGATGTCTGGCTCATGACCCTGTAATAATTGGGATGGGGAATATCTATGCTCACTAGATGGTCGGATGCGTATTAGTTCAGCAGCATGTAATACTGCATGTCCCCAAGCTGAGACCGGGAGTTTCGACCTCATGAGTAATGGTCGAGCAATCCATTGGATTCGTTTAATGAATGATTCAGCAAGTCCATTCTGAGTATGGACATGTGCCACAGGATGTTCAACGGTCACCCCCATGGCCATACAGTAATCATTAAACGCTTGGGAAGTGAATTCACCAGCATTATCAAGACGTATAGTCTTTAGTGGGAAGTCTGGAAAGTGGGCTCGTAATCTGATGATTTGAGCCAACAACCTAGCAAAAGCTTGGTTCCGAGAAGACAACAGGCATACATACGACCAACGGGTCGAAGCATCTATTAGTACGATGAAGTACCGGAATGTCCCAGAAGGTGGGTGAATGGGACCACAGATATCTCCTTGGATTCTTTCCAGAAAATGCAATGTCTCTTTGGACACTTTTACTGGTGAAGGCCGAGTGATCAACTTCCCTTGGGAGCAAGCTGTGCACATGAGGTGCTGAGGGAAGACTCGGTTTTCTCGAAGGGTGTGTCCTTGAGAACTTTGGATTAATTTCTGCATCATGGTTGTACCGGGATGACCAAGCCGGTCGTGCCAAATAGTGTAGTCTTGGAACCGGGCTTTGAGAGCATTATTAGCCTCAATCATACTGACCTTGGCATAGTAAAGGCCAGTAGATAAAGCGGGTATAGTCTCGAGGACTTGTTTATGGCCAAGTGTGATCTTAGTGATCAGTAAGGATTCTTTATTCCCTTCACCCTGGGTTTCTATGTGGAAACCATTAAGTCTGATATCTTTAAAACTTAAAAGGTTTCTTTTTGAGCTGGGTGAGTATAATGCATCTGGAATGTCCAGATGTGTGCCGTTTGATAACAACACATGGGCCTGGCCGTGGCCTTCTATTAAGTTCGAGCTACCCGCTATTGTGCTAATATTCGCGGTTTGCATGATTAAATTTATGAAATAACTCTTGTCTTTGAGGATAGTGTGGCTGGATCCACTATCCACCACTATGATATCCTTTTGAGTGTTCATATCTTCAATTTAAACAAGAGGTATGATTTAAAAATGAGTAAATCATAAGATTCATAAATTAATAAAATATCAAAATGTCTGAAAATAAATAGCAAATGAAAATAAAACAGATCCCCAAAATGAAAAGAAACAAAATCAAAATAAGCAAGTGTTCAGATGATAGAATCAATCGAGGAGATCTGAGGTCTCGTAGTCCATGAGATCGGTCGGCTCGGTGGTGGTGTCGTTAGCATCAACTTGCTGGGCCATGTTAGCTTCAGCAGGTGCTTTCCCATGTTTCTGATACAAATCGCAATGAAACTTGGGAGTACGACAGTTCTTTGTCCAGTGATTGAACATTCCGCATCTGGTACAGGCAGACTGATTGGTTGGGTGGGCAGGGCGGTTTGGTTTAGAGATACCACGGCCTTTACCGGAACCATAATTGAGGTTATGTCGGTTGCCACGTCCGTTTCCGCGTCCACGCTTTCCACGTCCATTCCCACGTCCATTCCCATGTCCATGGCCACGATCTGAGGATCTGTCTCGCTGGACATTGTAGGATTCTTTGCGGGAATCTGGTACTGGAGCCGATCCCGGGGGCCTCTGGGCACTGTTCCTCATTAACAGGTCATTGTTTTTCTCGGCCAAGAGCAAACAGGATAACAAATCTTCGTACAATGTATGTTTCATTGCACGATATTGTTGCTGAAGCACAATATTTTGGGTATGGAAGGTGGATAATGTTTTCTCGAGGAGATCATTATCAGACACCTCTTCACCACATAGTTTCATGATTGAAACTATCCGAAAGAGTTCGGAGTTGTAGTCATCCACAGATTTGTAATCTTGGAACCGGAGTTCCTTCCAGTCAAACTTGGCTTGTGGCAAGAGCACCGTTTTCTGGTGATCATACCATTTTTTCAGGGCCACCCAAAGTTCGAGTGGGTTCTCAAGAGTGAGATATTGCTGTTTGAGGCTTGCGGCCAAATGATGGCGGATATGAAATATCGCCTGGGACCGGTCTTTATCAGATGCGGTGTTATCCGCTTTGATACACTCACCCAGTCCCTTTGAGTTGAGGAAAATCCTGGTGTCCAGGGCCCATTCGAGATAGTTTTCACCGGAGACCTTGAGGGCCTCGAACTCGACTTTCTGAATGTTTGACATCTGAAACATGAAATTGATTTAATTAGGGGTTTGTTAAAAGGATAGTTATATGAAAATAATTAAATTTTCTATTTGAGGAAACTTTATATTTGAGGAAAGTTTCTAATTTGGAAAACTTTCTAAATGAGGAAAGTTTTCATTCCGGGTCATTTGCTATTTGAGGAAAGTTTCTATGTGAGGAAACTTTATATTTGAGGAAAGTTTCTAATTTGGGAAACTCTCTAAATGAAGAAATTTTCATTCCGGGTCATTTGCTATTTGAGGAAAGTTTCTATTTTAGGAAACCTTCTAAATGAGGAAAGTTTTCATTCCGGGTCATTTGCTATTTGAGGAAAGTTTTTATTTTAGGAAACCTTCTAAATGAGGAAAGTTTCTATTTTAGGAAACCTTCTAAATGAGGAAAGTTTCTATTTTAGGAAACCTTCTAAATGAGGAAAGTTTCTATTTTGGGTCATTTGTTATTTGAGGAAGGTTTCTATTTTAGGAAACTTTCTCGGGAATCGTAAATTTTAAGGATACGGAACATAAGTTCGGTTTAATGGTTTAAAGTTGGACCGGAATATTAGATTCCGGTTTGGGCCGAATTGATTTCCGGTTTAGAATAACCAGTCTGAACCGGTTTACCCAGATTGAGATCCGGTTATTATTTTTTGGAACCGGTTTGATAATCGGTTTAACCGATGAACCGAATTGATATTCGGGTTTAGGAGTTAACCGAGAATGATTTCCGGTTTAGGGGATACACGAAAATTGCGGTTTTGGATTTGATTTGATTTAGGTTTTAAGATTTCGGCCATGGCTTAGTGTTTTCGATTTTGAGTGTTAGGTTTAAGTAATACAAGGTTTTTGATCTTTAAGCTTTTAAGGTTTTGTTTTTTACCTTTCACCAATTGGGTTGAACGGATTGAACCGGGAGTTTAAGACCTCGGTAACTCACGCTGTCGATGAACAGTACCGATGAACAGTATCGATGAACAGTGTCGGCGTGAACAGTATCGGCGAACAGTGTCGATGAACAGTATCGATGAACAGTGTCGGCGTGAACAGTATCGGTGAACAGTATCGGTGAACAGTATCGATGAACAGTGTCAGCGTGAACAGTGTTTTCGATTTTTTAGGGTTAGGGTTGTTAAGAGCAAACTCGTGCTGATAACGTGTTGTGAAACTTATTGTTCTCTTATCCCATTCCATGAATAATGATACATATATATAGACATATAAACCTAGGGTTTTAGAGTACATAATGAATAACCCTGATGGGCTTATTGGGCCCGGTTATAAGTCTAATATGATGTATTATAACAAATCTTACTTAAAAACATATTATATTAGACGGTTTAGACCTATTAACTCTTTTAGCTAGAAAAAGAAAAAGACACACCAAGAAAGATCGATAATACAAATTTGCCCCATTAGTTTCCATTTCATTGTGACTTTACCCCAAGACTATACCTTAATTCAACATTTCTGTTTCCTATCAGAAGCAATGGAAAGAAGCATGGAAACACCTTGTGTCCAAAGATCATATTCCCTTTGGCTTTTGCACTCGAATTCAATCACTCTTTTCTCCGGCGTCTTTAGTCCAAAATACCTCAAATTCTCTCCGCCCTCGAGCAAATCCCGGCCAGGCCACGCCGGTAATCCCTTGACCAATTCCACCACCACATCTATAAAGATCAATACATCAAAAATTCAGCGACTTAGAAACAAACTAATATACCTATAGACCAAAAACTTAAGATTAATGTGAACAGATAAAGAAATGTGTAATGGAATTACCATTAGACTAATCCATTACTTTATTTATTTTTGGTGATTTGTTGAAAGAAAAGAAAGAGACTAATATTCTAAACTGATTAATTAATCTTTTCATGAAAGTTTGGATCTGTCTTTAACTTTACGATCCAATAGTCTCTTAAACTTCAAAAACTATTCCAGAGTTAGTACCTTTTTGACCTTTTGATCTATTGGATTCCCAATGAAAAACAAAGCAAGAGTAAGAAAGAAGCAAAGCATAACTATTTCACTCACTCTTTTTCTTCTTTGTAATGGTCCCAGCAACATGTTTGCTCTTAGTCTTCAATATTACCTGCGCAATAAAGATAAAATGCATATTAAAACGATATATAATATATAGTTAGTTTCCACAAAAAAAGGTCGATACACACATTAAATTCATGTAACTAAAACATAGTAGAATTCCTGTTTTACCTGCTTTGTTCTATTTATGTAGATCGAAACAACTTTCCAGTGAAGATCACCTGAAATATATGAAATGAAAATAAACAAATGGAAGAATAATGGTGTATTCAAGAACTACGTAACATTTAACATGAACTAAATTGGATTAAAAGACATTAACAAACCTTTGCGGGTGCGTTTAAGCAGTTCGCAACCTTTAGCTAGCAATTCTCTACTGCAAACCCCGAGAAAATTATCTTCGGGGGCTAATTCGCCTCCTCTATAACCACCACCACCACCGCCTTTTGGTATACCCTTATCTACCGGAATTACAGCCGCAATGTTCCATACCTCCTTCAATGCTCTCGCCTTCAATGTCGCAGCTCCTCTCAAAGCTACACACATAACGAAAATAGGTTAAGTGATTAACCATAATCGAAGACTTCTAACTAATTCATGGTGGTCAAGTGATTATTTATGTCTAGGCCAAAGTTTGATCTTTTAAAAAAGAGTTTAATCATGTTTGGCCATTGTTAATTCAAATTGAGGGACTATTCCACAGGTCTAGAAAGAACTACCACACTTTTATATGGTTCATTATTGAAAGTTTTAAAAATAGAGGGATCAATTTTTTAGTCTTTCTTGGGTAAATAAAGGACCACTTATAAAGTTTGTATGAACGTAACAATTTTTAACATTCCCCTAGTGGCATGATCATGTAACGGTAGAAACATACCTGTGGCAGCAGCGGCGGTCAACGTCATGATATCTCCGGCAGAACGAACATTAACCGCAGAACTAACAACGGAGGCCAAGTGCTCACGATCAGCTCCCATAATCTCTGCAGCCTCCACACACTGTGCGGCCACCAAAGTCGCGGCAGAAGCCACGGCGGAGTCATTTTTGGCCACTTGCTCGTCAGTTCCGGAACTCGACTGAGAGGCAGTGGCTGCAGCAATAGCAGCCACAGCGGCAGCCACACAAGCTACAGATACAGCCGCATGGAGCTGTGCGTTTTGTGCACGCGTCTCCTCTCTCTTCTTTTCTCGCCGGTCCTTTAGCCAACGGCCAACAGTTTTAGACCCTCCGACAGTACCGGGAATGGCTGATGGACCACGTATGTGCCCATTAAAGGATGGGCTCACACGGTAGAATTGCTGGACAAATATTATAATTATTATAGGTTAAATAAAAATAAATTTATTTTTCTAATTGGGCAGAATTTTCTTGTTGAAAATCTAAATTTTTTTTGCTTATTTATTTTTAGAGTAAAACTAAAATAAAATGTACAATTATTAGGAAAAATTGAATATTTTATATAAAAATTTATAATTTTATAATTAAAGGCTGTGGAAATAGACCATTGTGAATATAAGCCAGCCAATATTTGGGTCCAAAACCATAAATGCTAACACAACTATATTCTTTTTCCTAAATAAATACTAAATCGAATCGAATGCGTATCTTTAATGAAATTAATAACATGAATACAAAAACAAAAATTACAAATAAGTGGATAAGAGACAAATACTGCTAAACTTATAGTGATTGACAGAGAAAAATTCTTGGGAAGAAGAGAAAGCCTGAGTTTTGTGTTCCTCTGTTTTTCTTACTCTACTGCTTCTACACTTACTTAGCCCAGCCTTTTTGTTTTGTCAACGTGTTTTTATCTATTTACAATATAGACCCAGCTTTTAAATCCATCTCATAGATTTAACCCACCTAATTTTAACCCTTGACACTCTAGTCCAATATTTAACAAACCATAGGTTCAGAAGTCAGAATAATCCACTGATAAAGAAAGGGACTGATGAAATACTAATTAAGAAACATAAATTTTTTACTCAAAAAAAAAAAATCCTTTTTCCAACTGGATTTTGGATTCCGGTTTAGTATTTTCTAAAACCGGTTCAAGAATTTAACTGACCTTAAAGTCATCGATGTCGGAAGGAGAGATCGGAGGACTGTCGGTGAATGAGCTGTGTGAAAGTCTCCCTGAGGTCCGTGGCGATGAAATCTCCGGCTATCATAAAAACAAAAACACAAATTAAAATCCGAAAGTTAAAAGATAATGGCGAAAAAATATGTAAAATAAGTTTATGATTTTCACTATCTTAAACATAGTAACATGAACAAAAAATTATGGTTCAACGTGACAATATTTGTTAGTAAGATTTCTAAAATTGTCATTTGAAAAATAAGTACTAAAATATTGAGAATATTTACAGATTGAGCCATGATACGTTCCATGACCATCAATGAAGTCTCAGAAGAAGCAAAAGAAAAAGTATTTCCAGAAACGACGCCGTTTTCTTCATCTTCCGGCACCAAAGTGACGTCACAAGAACCGTTTTGGATCTCCGAGAAACGCATTTGCGGCGGTTGAGAAGTCGGAGGAGACGCGACAACGGCTCTCGAAACTTCAGTTGCGGAAGTACTCCAAGTACGTGACAAAAACTCCATAGAATCTAATGGCGTTTCAGGCGGTTTAAACGCTGGATTTGACCTCCACCATTGCTCTCCAAACGTTTTACTTTTGTGATCCATTTTGTAGAGAGAGAGTGTTAGTGAAAGAATGTGGAAGTTGTGTGAAGCTTTCGTGTATTTAAAAGCGGTCACGAGAGAGATTTTTTGATTCGGCGGTTGAGGTACAGTTTTAGCTTACTCTAATTAATCGTACGGTTGGATTTGTTTTGTTGTGTTTTAGATTAACACGTGGCTTTATCTTAATGGATGATTTTAACTTCTTTTAGTTTTCACTACTACAGTGATTGTACTTTCTCTGGCGGTTCTTGATTAACTTCGAGTTCTGCTTAAAGAAAAAAAAAAGAAAAAAGAAATTAAAATTCATTAACTAGTACGTGGTGAATTACCAGGCTAATCAATTCTAGACTACCAACTAAAGTTCTCTTCTTTTACTTTCTTTGTTTTAATCATCCATAAGTTTAAGTTTATTAAGAACGTTGTATTGGCCCAGTGATAAATCTCATAGGTGGAGGTATTGGGTTCGACGCCGTTGGGAGGGATCTCTTCTTCAGAGGAGATGAATTTAACCTGGTGTGGGTTCCCTCTCTGGGAGATGTAGAACCTTCGGGTTTGAACTTCCAGATATTCAAAAAAAAAAAAAGGTTTAAGCTTATTTCCTAAAAATAAATATACTATGCACTCTAATAAAACAAATATTTCTCTGTTTTACATAAAATAAAATTTTAAATTGAAAAATGATACGATATTTTTTTCCAGCAAAATCAACTTATATTGAATAATTACGATCGAAGTACTCTGTCAACCAACATGGTGGTGGTATTACACATCCTGAGAAAAATGATAAGGTATGAGGTTTTGATTTATAAAAAGAAACAAAACTAAAATAAAACTCATATTGATCAAATACCGAGATTTTATATATTAAAACTTCTCTTTGATCATTATATATGCACACATTAATATGAAAATTATGACCGAATAATTAATTTAACTCTTTAAGAGGTACGGATTCATAATAGTATTTGCATATGGGAAAAGTAATAATGTGATGATCTCTAATCTTGGTATGAACCAATGTTTTTAAACTATAAAGTTTAACAAGAATCATAATCCAAAATAAAATGAGGTCTTGTCTTCTTAAGTTAGCAATAAAATTACCCAATGATGATCAATTATTTATCTAAAGCATGCAAGATTATTTTTCACTGCAAATCGAATCTATGGATAAATCAGGATATATAAGTTTATTAGCTAATCATGAATGCTTATGTTTAGTGTTGATTGGCCAAATGTTGTTCTTGTAAAACAATTTCTAATTAGTTAAAACACTAAAATCGAATCACCGGTTATTAATGGATTTTTATAAGTTTGATTATTTTTACAACTAAAGAACTTTAGATACATGCATGGATCAGTTTAGTGACTGGTCACGGATTTATTGGTCTGAGCTATTGGTTGGAATTGGATCTTCAAACATTGTGTCTGATGAAATTTCGAAGCTCTTTTATTTAAATTTTTCGATGTCAAAATTTAGAGCATATATGGTCCTAAAACTCGAGTATTTTTTTTCTTGTTGTAATTACTTTAGATAAAAGTAAGTATAAATATAGTGGGGAGTGGAATAATGCGCACGTGGAGGCGTGACTGGGGCACGTCATCATATGGAACCACAAATCTAATGTATGTAAGGTTGTGTCCGTGACAAGTCAGAACCACTCTTCACCACCTTCTCCTTTCAGCTTTTTGTCTCTTCTTTATTTTCTTTGATTGTTTTTATTTATGAAACAATATCACTCTACTAAATTCATAATTTGATCGCACACTTAAAACGGTTCAGACTAATTTTCATAGTGTAGGCTTCTCAATATTTGATAAATTATACTCCATTGATTTAGTGTTATTCGATCAAGTTAATCTTTGTATATTAATTAGATTGTTTTTTTCTGTTAAAATTAATTAGTTTGTTGTATCATTGGACAAACTCCAACAAATTTTGGGGATTTCACATAATAATAACATGATGTCTTTCTTTTGATTTCTTTGAAGAAGCTAAACCGCAAACACAGTCTTGGCCTTGAAGTAAGATGAAATAAATATAACAATTGTAAGAAAATATGTCATACTCGACAAAAAGATTAGTTTATTAAATGTGGACAAACTATGAGAATGTTTGCAGCCGAAGGTTACTAAACCCAACTAAAGCTCTTTAGCCTTTTCGGCACGCGAGTTCACATTCAAGTTTCAACACATAGGTGTATATCACATTTTAATTAACCATAAAAGTAATTATTTATCACAATTTAAATATATATTGAGATAAAATCATATGAACTTGATCAAATCATCTCAGGCTTTTGATATATTTTTGTACCAAAATTTCTAAAGTAAACAACTTAGATTGTTGGAAGTGATTTTCCAACATCGACAAATAGGTGTTGGAACTTATTTTGATTAGTTGCGCCGGACTACTTTTTCGGGTAACTTTCAAAATTGAAGTTCGTTTGAATGAAAAATGGAGATCCGAAGTGGTTAGCTTGGATAGCTTGAAATTTGACTAAAGGATCAAATGTCGCACTTCGGAAGTTAAAGGAAAAATCCTAACCAGGCATGTGTGCCGAGCCGTGTTGTATCGTGTCGAGCCGGACCGGGTTTGGGATTTTGAGATTTGAGAAATGGGCTTATAACCCAATGATTTGATGTAGTCAACAAATATCTTTGTTAATTGATTGAATTTTGTAACAACAAAATCAATGTGCATCAACTCACGACTTTAATGGAGATTGAATTCTCAACGTTGGCATTAAAGTTAGATTCTCATTTTGACTACAAACGTTGAATGCTTTGGCTTTATAAGCAAAGCTTCTTCACCACATTTCTTATGGAGATCATGGACATATGCATCCAAAAGATCACAATCTCCTTCATCTTCTCTTCTCTAGTTATCGAGTCTGAGAGTACACACATTACTAGAGTTCGTTAGGCTTCTGATTTTGAGTGTTGCAAATCAGAAGATGGTGCGGTTGTATCCTGGGATTCTGATTGCGTCAAGCCGTCACACTACGGGCAATTAAAGAATTAAGGAAAGAGTGTCTCGCCTCCGCACAAACCGTTCTTTGTTTAACAAATATTGGTTTCGGTTGTTGTAATTTATTTCTGGTTTTATTATTATCTATTGCAATTATTCAGTTTTGCCATGTCGTAGAAATCAAGGTCTTACAATAGGTATATAGTAGAAAATTAGTAAATGTGGCAAAACGATAAACACTCAGCGGAAGACAAGAACCCATGAATTCGCTTTAGACTGAGGTATCTAAAAATAAAGGATCGAAGTTTTAAACCATCTGAAAACATAGGAAACTTGCTCTCATTTTTCACGCGTTTTCTTTTTGACCTCCCTAAAATATTTTTAATTCATCTCTCAAAATAGTTATTCTTCTTCGAAAAAATCGTAGAAGTATAGATTAAATCGTGGATTTAGTATGGGTTGATTTAGAACACCTCTCTCAAAACTCTTTTTCTATCGACTTTTCTTTTATGATCAGCTATGTGGTTAAATTTCTGACTTAAATATCGAAAACCATATGGAAGACAATCTTTCATCGTTTCAAGTTTTCTACTCGTTGTTGTGGTTGCATATCTTATATGTTCTCTAAGGGACAAATTTGCTCTAATAATTGTTTTGATTTAAAGCAACAACTTTTCTTTGCATTGACCAACAAGTAATCTTTACCAAAAATTTACCCTGAACCATTTAGTAGATGGTAGTGTATAAGTAGCTCCGGTTCAATAATAAAAAGTCTTAAGACAAAAAATTTATTTTTGGATCTTTAGTTAAATATTTTTTTTTTGCTTTCTATTAAATATGTATTTATATTTTCAAGTATTAAAAAAAAAATTATGAGCCTTATTTTTCCTTTAAAAAAAAAAAAAAACAAATGGATCTTTTGTCTATGTTTTTTATTTAATGTATGGATCTCTAATCCACATACTTTTGCCCTACCTTTTTGGACCGAGACTGTATAGAAGATATCAAAGTGATTTATTTCTGATTTAGATTTTATATTATATCAAAAATTGTATGTTCAATTTGTTGATGATATATTAAGGGCAACTAAAATTATATATTGTGAAAAAAAAAAAAATTATATATGGTGAATATAGCATGTGATCAGTTTACAAAAATCTTATATCTTCCAAGCAATGCAAATAACATGGGTTCAGAAAATTTAAGTAAGTAGAGAGAATTATAACACTTTCCTGCTACTAGCTAGGATATATAATATGACTATATGAGAGATAAATGAGTCACTCAATGTTAGTTTGGTTTGCTATACCAATAATAACAAAGGTGACCTTTGCCTAATATGTAACAAATAAGCATCAATAATTAAATAGCGGCCCCAAAATCACTATTTTTGTTCCCCTCTTTTGAGGTAACGAGAGGATAGAAAAGACAGAGAAGGTGTTCATGTACGAGGGTGTTGGTAGCTATCTTTTTCATCATCAATTTTCTTATAAAAACTATTGTATTATAAATAAATCTGATAAGTGTATACAGACATCAAAGCATGCTTTAAAACCAAGAGCCATGCTTTGGACGAGTCGGGATATGTCCCGAGTTCGAGCACTAACTACTAAAAGAGGAGTGTATTTCCACTACTTCAATTTTATTGAGGAACTGTATTGATTTCGATTTGAAAAACTTCTCAGAGAAAAATTAAACTAGTTCAAATTATATGGCATTCGACTAGAGTTAAATAAGAACACTACGGTTCTGATTAATGTGTAAACAAAGTAAACATGTGGAAATACAACAGCTGAAAATAGAAGAATAAAAAATTTGAAAGTGGTGCAAACATTTCCACTTCTTTAAAAATATATGAATTTACTCTATTTTGTTGCTTTTGTTTTATTTTTCCATCGTAATTGAGTTAATTTTTTGGGAAAATTAGAAATAAAGGAGCTCTAAAAAAATGTTTGACCATATACACTTTTTTTTTTTAGAATGTTACTTTGGACTAAAATACCCCTACTCTTTATTTTAAGCATTTTTGAATGATTTTACAAAAAAAAACATGTAGATATACAAGATTATAAATGATTTGAAAAA